GCTGTAGGGAGCCAAAACCTTCTTGGAGGGGGTTGGATGGAAGCTGAGTTTCCCTCCCTGCTTGTATTGTATTTCTTTCCTCTGCCAAAATGTGCTTCCTGAGTCTTGGGCAGAGCTCTCCGCCGCTGACCCTCACCTTCCTCTGTTTAGCCTGGAGCGCAGGCTTGCCACGAGCGCCCGAGGCCGCGCCTGGGGACAGGCAGAGCCTCCCGCTGCCTGCACATGGCCGGGGTCAGCCCTGCTGTCAGCGGCTTCCCGGACACGAAAGCCAAGCCGGGCCACACCTGACCACGTCCCGCAGGACCGGCCGGGCAGAGCTCAGACACAGGAGTCCGGAGAGAGCCGCGGGCTGGGGGCAGGAGGGGCGGCGGGGAGGGACGGTGACAATTGATGGGGTTCACGTTTAAGGGCTCTATCCAGTCCTTTTCTCCCAGACAAAGATGGGTCAGGTTCCAGTCTCACGCAGCTGTAAACGGGAGGCAGCAAGAACAAAGCAGAGGTCAGCCAGTGCTCTAACCGAAGGGGTAATTCTGACTCCATTAAAATTCTCGCTCCCTTTCGCATGGAAGCGGAAGGCTGTGCTACTACTTATAAAGAGCTGAACCACCCTCGGGGTGACTCACAGCCCTTAACAGAGCTGCCATGCTGATTTTACAAATATTAGAGCAATGCCTCAGAGTCGCTGTTTTGTATGGTTCAACCTATCAACTTGGGAGCAGACCCATAGCTCTTTCACAAAGCCACCTTTCCCTGTATTTTATTTGCTTTCCTGGTGCCAAAATCGGAGCCAAAGCCGAGCTTAACAAAGCAACAGGCATGGCCGTTCTTCCCAGCCCTCATTTCCCCTGGTGAGAAGGGAGAAATTAATTTAAACCCTATCAAAACAGCAAAAGCTGTTCGCCATTTTGTGCTGCAGAACACAGCGGGAACGAAACACTCACTTGAACCATCTGCATTCGCCAGCCCAGCCGAGAGCACGGGAACACGCAGGTTGGAATCCTTTTGTTCAGGCATCTGCAACAGACAAACATGATCTAAGCTCCTTCGCAGGCAGCAGCAACAGGGAGATGCTTGGGATGCAGGCAGGAGAGAAGAGCTTTTACCTTATTAAAGGCTTTAATTTCTGTTCTTTGAGCCCTTGTTCCTGGATCCAGGCAGGTTCAGCAAAGCTCTTCGTGTCCCAGCAGCTTCTGCGCCTGTCCCAGCCCCGCAATAGCCCAGAGCAGCTCCCAAGTAGCCAGGCAGATGGGGAACATGCCGGCAACGCAGCTCCCCTCGCTGCGGCTCCCCCCAAGCGCAGACATCACCCGCGAGAGGAACCCGCAGCCGCGCTGGTGTCGGGCTTGCCGAAGCTTTGGCAGCACGTGTAAGGGAGCGGAGACACTTGTTGAAGCGGCAAGAAACCAAACCCAGGAATAACCCCTGCACCGAGCAGCGCAGCTCCCCTGCCCTTGGGGTCTGGGACCCACCCCCCTGCCACCACCTGCCGCTGCTCGCGGGGCTGATTTACTGCCGGAATATCCAAAAAAACACCGCGGGTTTCTCGCCTCTAGTTTGCTGTTCTAGATTTTCTCAGACCTGCTCCCTTTGCCAAAGTACTGTTTGTATCACACTCAACCATGCAGGAGGTGTCAGCTTCAGATCAAGGCCCCAGCTAGCAGGGCTCGCATGAAAAACCCTAACATTATTAACAGAAGCACAGGGTTACATTATTAATACCACTCGGTAAGGTCATGTCTATTCCTAATAATGAGAAATAACGTGCTTTTACACGAAGTTAAACACTGCAGTTAACCTGCGAGCCTGTCACACACTGCTAGCACCATCCCCACAGGCTCAGAACCATCTCGGCAGCACCAGGACCCCCCTTTCTGGAGCCAGAGAAGCAAATACACTTCACGCTGCAATTTCTCAACCACCTCCATCCACTTCTGCTCCACCTTAACTTCCTTAAGTCACACCAAACATGATTGGGGTGAACAGAACGTTTTCAAACCATTTTTCTTCCTCTTCTTATTTCATACTCAATTCAAGAGATTTTTATGTGTAGGAAAAATCCAGTAGAGACAATGTGCAAGTGAATTTTGTGGCAAAGACAGAAAACCTAACCAAGTTTCTAGCAGCGATAGTGAAGTAGCCTTCGGACTTCCGTGATGGTAAAATCTTCACGCAGATGCCCAAGATCAGCTTAATGCCGCCACAAGAGGGAGTCTTAAATCTCCTGTTAATACCCAGATGGATTCTAGTTTCAAAACTCGTCTAGTACGAGAGTAGACAACAAGCTTTCAAGAGGATTTGACAAAGTTATCCTGAGCTCCAACTTTCTTCTCTAGTTTTACAGGAGTATCCTTGTTCTGGAGGTAAAGGTTCTTTAAAATGATAAATCCCAGGTACAAAGATGCAGGTTTTTCTTTTCTTATGAATGCGGGTGGGGGAAATTACCTTCTTTATCCATTCTAGAACCGCACTGCAATTGAAGGCAGAGTACACAGGTGGTTTACACAGCCAATCTCAGCTTATAAATGCCTGGAAGGCTGGTTCCACCTGAACTAACTCCTAGAAGCATATTTTACAGCAGGGATAATAGGTGTAATATGACACGCAACAGAACTACGGAGCTTGCAAGGAAGCTAAATAAAACCAATTGCTTCCCACCACGGGCTCAGACCTGGTGGCTATAAGCAGAGCGGGAGTCACTGGCGGACTCCCGGCCTTTCTGGCTTACTGCACACCTTCTCCAGCTCTTTTGCCTTGGGAGCTCAGCAGAGCCATTTGAGACCTGGGCACATCAAACTGCCAGACGTCTTCAAGAGGAAACTTTCTTCTCAGAAGGATGCTGTTCAGCTAGAGCCACAGTTCTGCTGCGCCAGAAACGCACCCTTCTACCTTACTGAGGTTAGAAATTACACTGGGATTTTACTCTTCTCATCCATAATCTGAAAGAGCAGGTTCTGCTTAATCTAACCCATGGTGTGGCAAGCTACCACGATGCTGGCTTAACATTTTGCTAATTCGACACACGTGATTAGAAGCTCTGGCAGAACTAAGAGCCTACAACATAACAAATAACACTTCCCACATCGCCAGTAAAATATCTGTGTTGTATCTGTACGCGTCTGCCCTCCAGCTGCCAAAAAAATGTCAAGAGACATTCCTCAAAAATACTTTTATGGTCTTTACTCAATCTTGACATTCACTTGTTCTAAAGTTTCCAAGAAAACATTACAGCTCCAAAGGGGGCATCTATGTTTGAGTAAAGCCACGCAATGATTTTGAACAGAAACAGCTAAACACAGGCACTGTCCGAAGCGCCAAGGAACAGACCTCTAGCAATACTATTTTTTTTTTTTTTTTTTTGCTTACAGTACGAGCCAGCTTAAAGGTGGGGTTCGTAAAAGGCTGCTTAAAAAACTTGCCCCCCTATTTATGCATGTCATTCTTTTCAGAAGCAATTTATTGGGAAAAATACTCTTAATTATGATTAGGGGCTGACTACTGGAATGCCCATGCCTGTTTATTCCAAAGCAGATGTTCAGCTTTTGATGTTCCTATGTTATGCTGACAATAGTAAGTTATTAGCAAAACTTAGTAAGTAATATCTAAAAAGACTTTCTGTGAGGTTGCCTAACTATTGGAGTGGGTCAGCAACAAAAGATCAGATGTGACACGTGTTAACATCCCAGAACAATTTATCCTCTGCTTGGCCAAACCTCATTTCACTCAGCTGAATGTAATTAGACCTCAAGCTTGTCCTAATTTCAGCCTCTGCAGGAAAGGGGTTATCTTTCTTCAGCAGTACATGGCTGCTCTGAAATGCTGGCAGTGATCTGCAAGAAACTGCAAAGGTGCACACCATCTCACAGATTTAGACGAGGAGCTAAGACAGCCCGATATGTACATTAAAATGCAAACATGTATGCCACAGCACCTGCTTTGAGTCTCAGTCAACACACCCAAGCAGAAAGTAGCAAAAACCCATGAGCCACACGGTGCTTGAGCTATTTTTAGATAAATGTTATACAATTTTCCCCTCGAGCTCCATGGATCAGAAACACATGCTGCAGTTACAGACCCATTACAGTTTAATCCTACCCCAAACAAGGATGGTAAATCCTCAGATGCTAGTACCAGCCAGGCTACTCAAGGAGCAAAGCACTATTCAAGTCTTTGCTATGGCTCAGGCTGCCACAACCTGGCCCAGAGTAACCTAAACTGCACCTGGCTTTGTGAAAACAAGCTCATTTAATTTTTTCTGACCTCTGTAATAAGGTTCTTGCTATTGGGTGAAAGTGGACAGAAGATTAGATCTACGTTCTATGAAATATATGACTTTTAAATGTTGTAGAAAAGATAAATTAAAGCTCGTTTACTCCTCTATCAAACAGATTACCACAGTGAAACAATGGGAAGAATCTGCCCCAAGCCCCTCAATCAGGGCCTCAAGACAGAAGACAAGACATCTTACATTGGGACTGGAAGATCCTTTAGGAGATCATGTTTCTTTAAACGGTGCTGAAAATTTAGTGTGATTTTTCTGATGAAGGAGCTTGTGGTCCCCCAATAAAAAATTAAAAAAAAAAAAAGGAAGCCACAAACCCAGCTGCACGAGGAGTAGCTGGTAAGAAGAACAAGGATCTTCATGTCAGGAACAGTACTGACCTCACACCTAGCAAAAGCCACAGATTTGACTAAACCCTTGCTCCAAGACGCATTTTAGGCTACACCTACACAGGAGTCCCTTGGAAAAAAAATGCATGATTATCAGTTGCAAGACTAAGGGAAGACATTAACAACTTGTTTGTTCTTGAAAGTTTCCTTGACCCAACTGGCAGCGTTCTTAGTCAGCAAATAACTAAAGTCTCACGCCAGTTTTTGATTGATTGAAGCAGCAGTCAAAGATCTGTGCTACGTTTACATGACAGCACTGTGCAAAACAGGGAAATACATTTTTTTAGTTACTACAATGTGTGAGCATGCTTAAAGAAGTCTACCAAGCCATGTAACAGTTTGGGGTTCTTTAATGATTAGTTATACCCAACACATACCCGACAATTCACATTTGTAAGCAACCTGTCTCTGTGCTGTAGCTATGGCACAGCCTGCCCAATTTACCAGGACCAGAAAAAGAGCCTACTGCCAAAGCGAGAAGGCTTCAGCTCTCCTTCAATGGGTGGATTTGGCTCTGGTCTAGGTCTAGAGTGATAGACATTCTCAGGCATAGGACGGTCTGTCTTCACTTTCGTAACCTGGAAAGGAAAAGGAAGAAATTATACAACTTCTCACAGCATTTAACAGAAAAGCTAGACCGAGTCAGAACTTAAAGGAAGAACCACCAAAAAGGCAACACTAAGGACACACTGCTGATCTGACAGGAGCTTCTATCTCCAGAATACTTCTAATTAAAGGGAGAGGAAGGGTATTTCACTCAGAACTAGAGAGTAGTTCTACATGCACGTGAGCTTCACTCCTAAAGGAAAGGCCTCTGCACCAGGAAAAGCAAAAAGCAAGAGTGTCACGAAGAAAAGTGCAAGTCTTCCAGGAAAGCAACCATAAAGATTGCTGACAGAATCCTGCCTTAACTATTAATTCCACAAACTTCCAGTGCTGAGTTTATGAATCACCTTCTGGCCAGGAGAAGAGTTTGAGACCTGGCCTGAACAAAACGCACGCAAGAAGGTTGAGAAGAATCTAGCTATCTGATCAAAAAGAGGTAGAAAGTTACCTTAGAGAGCTGTCCCAGATCAGGCCTCACCCAACCCAACTTCTCCAGCACACAGTTATCAAACACTGCCTGCTGCTTCCGGCACCGACGGAGCTCCTGCAAGTTGGTGTAGTCAATGCACGTCCAGTACTCAGTAAACGGCTCCGCACAGTGCGTTTTAATTTTCCTGTAAGAGATCACAGAAAGAAAACCATCAGCGAGTGTCAGAATTTTAATGCTCTTCTCTCTTATTCATTCAACTTGTGATAAAGTGTTTTTTGTAGTTTTAACTTCTTGGGAACATTTAACATATTCAGAGAAGTCTGTACTTGAAGCATCATTAAACAGAACTTGGTAACAATACCAGGTAAATTTGTATCGTTGTAGCTACAAGTAGGAATAGCAATAACTTAACTAGTATGTGGAAGGTATTCTTGCTAGGTAGACACACACAGCTCCTCTGTATGAGATCTTTTGTTTTAGTGTATATTATAGAATGCTCCAAAACTTCCAAACTAATTTGATGTCTTAAGCTCAAGACGACATGCTTAGAACAGAGGTTTCTGATTACTAGGTGCTATACTGGAAGTAGACATGCTTTGAGCTAACTAAACCAGGCCTTTTACTAGCAACTTAAGAACATGATACTGGCACATGCCTTGGATCTACACTTTTGGTCAGAAGAGGCAAATGGCGTATCGACCCGAGCTTTCACGGTAGTTCACCTGTGAAACAGTGAGGACAGACAGCGCAAAGCTTAGGTTGGTTTCCTAAACTTCATAATATAGTTGCAAGGTGCAGAAGGAGCAAGCTTTCCACCCCCCACCCCCCAGCATTTCTTTGCCAACCTAACAAAAACCTGAGCCACCTATTCTGGAGCAGAGGCCATGGAGCTTCATATGAAGGGTTAAATTAAGGTGGAAATAAAATAAGGTTAAATTAAGGTATAAATAAAATAGAAAAAGGAGGGCACAGCCTCTGTTTTTAAGAGTTAAAGTTTAAGAAGCAATAATAAAGACTCTGAAGGTCGTGGAGGGAACAGCTTTTTTAATTAAACCGAGTGACTGCCAGAGCACAAAGCGCAGAGGGCGGCAAGGATCCGCTACACCGGGAGATGCTCCGAAACGCTCTCGGGGCAGGCGAAAGCCTCTGCCAGGCAGCAGGCGGCCGCAGCAGCGGGGCTCTCCGCCCGGGAGCCCTCC